TAGGAGATAGGAGATAGGAGTAGGAGTAGGAGTAGTAGTAGTAGTAGTAGTATTCGCATCACTGCCGCCCTCCAACTGTCGCAAAATACCGCGGTTACCGTCGCAGAAAACACCGCCGAAACCACCACCGTCGCAAAAAACACCGGTTGCCAGTGCAATAAACACCCGGGGCCGTCGCAAAAAACACCGAGGAACCGACGCAGAAAACACCGGCTCGTAACCGACGCAAAAAGCACCAAACCTGGCCACCGTAGCAAAAAACACCGCTTACGGTCGCAAAAAACACGAAGCCCCTCTACCTCTCTCTACCTCATCATTCCAGCACATCCCGCCGTCGTGTCTCGCGCATGGTTCCTGAGCAGCTTTTTTCCCTAGCGGCCACGGGCAAAAGTTTTTCAACACGTTGCTTGGCTAGAATGTGACATCGTGCCGTCAGAAAAGACAGGCACGAGCACGGGCAACGACGAACAACGGATGTTGAGCCGCCATCGTGCCGTCAGAAAAGACACACACGAAAGACGTCCGTGCTGCCGAGAGAACTGCGAAACGTTGCTTTGCTTAACTGCGACGGCTCGCACAAACTTTTGGCGGTCGGACACAACTCGCCACAAACCTAAGCTGCTGCATGCGTCCCATGTTTCACTGCATGTGTCCGGCCGACGCGGTCAGACGCAGTCAGCACTCGTGCGGTGCGCATCACTGCATGTATCCCGTTTTTCCCGATGGCAACGACGCGGGCAGAAAAGCCATACGTGAGCTCACTGCCATCTCTGCCACGCAGGCGCATCCGGCATCTGCGAGGCGTCAGCCACTGGGCAGCATCCGCCCGGGCCGCCTGCCGCTGTTGCATTGGCATTTCAGTGTGAATCCCATCAGGCATAATCAGGCTGAAAATGGCAGGACTCATCAAAAAGCTTCAAATACTCACGGCGCAGCAATTCATCCTCCGTGCGCTTCACCTGGGGCCACTCACTGTGGTTCCGCAAGATTGGTGAGATGCTTTCGCAGAGCGAGCCACATGGCAGGACTTTCTCCCAGGTCCTGCGGAAGCCGTCTCGCTTCATCCGGCGGCTGACGAGTTCTATTATGGCACTTGCGCGTCGACACAAGGCTGCGCGCATACCGCGCGCAAACTTCGGCGGTCCAAGATCCGCGGCGCGCCATTTCTTTGGCTCGGTTGCAGGCAATTGCTTATTCGACATGGCGAGCAGGGGACGCGGTCAGAAAAGACACGCAGTCCGAACAGGCACGACTATCTGGCAACAGGAGTCCTACTCATGAGATGGCCAACCGTGATTATCACATGCAACTCACAACCCACTTTCTGCTGATACATCCTCTGTTGTTAACGGCCAAGATATGTCTTCTACAACTACGTGCTTGCATTAGACGATGTGGCCCATATCATGTTCCATCACGAACTGATCTAATTAATCACTGTTCACATTTGCCAAGCTTTGAGACGAAGACAAACAACAAAATGGCATCAGTAAAAGAAGCACGATGCGAACTTGACCCATGGAATGACAACTATCCGGAAACCTGGTCATTGAAACAACAGTTCACATTTTGACCCCACGCGTCATCGCAAAGAAAAGATGAAAAGTGAACCTAAAACCGTCGTGATAAAGCAAACATCTTTTGAGGGACAACCATGTTCTGCATTTTTCCACGTTGACAACATCATGAGGATAACAACATGAATGAAATCTCAAAGAGACGGAACACGTATCTATATCTAACCAATTCACTTTCTTTGGACATAACAACGATAATTTCCCAATCAAGCCATTACATGCGACCGAAACCCCGACATCTTCAACATAAACATTTGATGAACCAAGCAAAATAACGCATGAACATTGAGTAACAAACTCAAATACATCTTGTAGGTAACAACCTGAATGAACTCTCAATGAGACGTAACCTGAATCTAAGAAACAGTAATTCCCCAATGAAACCAGTTTGTTCCATTTATGTTTCTGTCTATCAACCAACAAATTATCTATCTATCTCTCGGTCTGTCTGTCTGTCTATCTATCTACCTGTCTATCTGCACGCTTTAAAACCTTGCTATTCTACGAGGCTTCTTCATTTTTCCAAGTTGACAACATCAAAAACGCAGCACTTCTGCGAGACTTCCTCATTTTTTGAAGTTGATTACATCAAACAGAAAACACTTCTGCGAGACCTCCTCCTTTTTTAAGTTGACCACATCGAAAACGAAGGCGAGACTTCCTTCATTTTTGAACTTAACAACGTCAAAAACGAAGCAATTCTGCGAGACGTCTTCATTTTTCACACTTGACAACATCAAAAACCAAAGAATTCTGCGAGACCTCCTTCAAAAATGGAACGTTGACTGCAGCGCTGACGGCCTCGTGCCAATACGTTTTGCGATTTTTCCATTCCACCTGTCTAAAGTACTGCGCCTGCCACGAAAAAGTGATGCCAGGTCATACGAAGTGCTGCACCTGTCACGCAAAATCATCTTAGCAAACCTACAGATCTGATGCTCCAAAATGCAACAACCCCTCTCAGGAAATCCGGGCCCTGACCTCCTAACATCTCTGATGAACATGTCTTTTGTACTGCGCCTGCCACGGAAAATGCATCTTTGCAGATCCTCTTCAAATGTCCCATGCCCCATGCCTGCCATCCTTTTTGGAGATGCTACAAAACCCTCACGTTTTGCTCACTTTTGACAAGGTGCACAATCCCTTGCGCCTGCCACGCGCAACGAAATCTGAATGTCCAAAAGTGGTCCGCACGTGGTGTGCTTTGTACATTTTGACTTCGAAATGTGCTTCGTGCCACAACGGCGTGCACTTTTTCGACATCTCAATTTCCAAAAGTGGTCCGAGAATGGTGTGTTTTGTACATTTTGACTTGGAAATGTGCTTCGCGCCACAACGGCGTGCACTTTTTCTACATCGCAACTTCCAAAAGTGGTCCAAACATGGTGTGTTTTGTACATTTTGACTTCGAAATGTGCTTCGGGCCACAACAGCGTGCCCTTTTTCGACATCTCAACTTCCAAAAGTGGTCCGAACATGGTGTGTTTTGTACATTTTGATTGGAAATGTGCTTCGCGCGACAACGGCGTGCACTTTTTCATCTCTCATCTGGCCAGATGGCTCCGCACCCGCCGCTTTAGCGAGCCTACTCCGGAGCCACAAATCATTGGAAAACCTACCTTTTCGCGCATCTGCATCTTCTTTCTTCTGACCCTTTCTCCTCTATCATCTTCTCTCTTCTACTCTTCTCTTCTCTCTGCCTCTTCCCCATCTCTGCTTTTCATCTGTACATATTGTCGGAAGTTTGACTTCTAAACTTCCTTCGGTTAAGACTCTACTTCAAAAAATGCCCCGCCCCAGCGGAACCTGTACAGTCTCTGATGGTGGTTCGTTGGTGCCTGCAGTTTGCCAGTGCCCGAAAGCATCTCGGAATATCTCAAACATCAAATGATTCCCCCATTGCAATGCAAAGAAGTTTTGGATTAGTCGCGCTGCAGTATACACAATGCCTCCACAGATAAAGGGTTTAGGCATGTTTTGGCGCTTCATGGCCGTGACTTTTTGACTAAGTGTAGAGCAATGGAAGGACGCAAAAGGAGAAGGGCAAACGCAACTTAAAGAGTAGTTCCAAAATGTTCCAACGGATGGTGCCATGTTTTTGAATGTTTTTGAAATAATGTTCACAATCACCCAGCAGACCCAACAGGTCTACATTGCCGCTGAAGAGTTTGTGAGCGAGCAGGCTTTGTGGATCAGAGGCTGGAAATACCAGGGCCGGCTCGAAGCAACTGTTGAAAGTAGAGCAATCCTCCTGAGCAAAGCGGAGATGCGCATTGTGCTACAAGACTATGCTGACATTCTTGTGACGTGCTGCATTTTAAGTACTTTTGGGTCGCGTTTTTGAAGATAGGGGCACGGATGGGCACCTTTTTTTTTCAATCGTGTGGTTTCGATTCCGATTGCAAAAGTGCAAGCTTGAGGCAACCGCAGTGATTTATGCACGCTCGTTTGTGAGCGCTATGAACGAGATTGCCGCAGCGAACATCTCCGACATGCCCTTGGATCCATCATTGCTCCACTTGGATCCAGCGAGCCTTCTTCGCAGGGGTCAAGTGGTCAAGCCAGGGCTGATTTTTGCGACGTCCTTACGCTCCAAGCTTCAAAGCACCACCCATCATGTGTCCGCCCTCTCATTCTTGAAGAGTACCCTTTTTGGGAGATGCTGAGATGCCACTCATGCAATATGCTTATATGGCCGTAAATATGCGTATATACTATAATTTTTATATAATTAGGTAACGCAGGGAACATATGTAATAAATAATTGAGCAAGTAAAGAAGTAAATAATAGATAGATAATAGACAAATAGATAGATATATATTATATATAGAAATTATATACCATTTGTCTTAAGATATACAATCTACAGACTATGTAGATGATTTTAGATGGCTGTTTCAAATGGCAAACTGAAGATAGCAAAGAGGCGCGCAAAAGGGATGAGCCACTGAGGAGATCGACCAGCTTGCCGAAGAAATCTAGCAGCTCGGGGCCCAAAAACAAGGGACGATATGACAAGGTTCTTCCAAGCCAGTGATGCTGCTGAAATGTGACAGCGAGCGGTCGCGCATGCTGATCTCAATTGTCTTCAAAGCCAATGCTGTGATTTCTGGGTCTCATCCAATCCTCTAGAGGTTGGATGCCCCGGAGCTGCTGATGTTGTTCGATTAAAACATGTCTTTTTATGTTACTTTGTAACAATAGTAGAACCTTGTGTGTGCTTGAGGAACTGGTGTGAACTGATCCCCACAAAGCAACACGAGAGAATTATATAGAATTATCACATCACGGCTTTCTGCAGTGGAAAGTGACGCTTGGTACTTAATTTTAAAGGGATTGCTATTTTTGCAGGGAATTGGATCTCTAGTTCCCAGCTTCTTTGCTTTTCTTTTTTTGTGCTTTCTTGCCTCTCTGCTTCTCCGCTTTTCTCTGTTTATTTGATTCTCTGCTTTTCCTTGTTTTTTTTTGAACAGGGGATCGTGGGAGTGCAACTTTTCTGCTTTATGAGGTAGCATAAAACCTCAAAATGTTTCTAACCACAAACCACATGAATTAGTTTGTGAAATCTTTACCTACATTGAACAGAAACCAAAACACACAAAAACAACATCAAAAACCAACTAACATGTCCCAGCTACTCATGGACCCCATTGGCTTGTTTTTTCACGAAAGCTAGCTTGTGCTAGCTGAAGTTGCTCTTGCTTTAGCAAGGACTAGGCAGGCAGCAGGACCATTGGAAATCCTGAAGCTTTCAAGTTATACCCCCCCCTGGCAGTCCAGGTTCGATCCCCCCGGGCACACTTTTTATATGCTGATCAAGGCTCAAGAGAGATATAGATATAGAGAATCCTGTGGACACCGCACCGACTGGCAATACGCCGTGAGTAAAAGGGTGTGAAGCTGTCTTTGGAAGACGCTCTAGCTGATCTATACTAGACGCTAGTGCCCCTCTTCAAGTGGTAGCGGAGCTGTGATCCTTCATTGAATGTGAGCTCCAGGTAGAGACCGATATGTCTCGCCATGGCTATGATGATGATGGCTTCGACATTGTCGATGCAGATGGATGTGATGGAATCAATATGACTCTTATGCAATGAGAAGAGCACCTCAACAGCCTTCAATCCATATGACGCAACAGATGACCATGAAGGTAGCCCCTGCATATGATGGGAGAACCAGCTTCTTTGCGTTTGAAGATGCCGTTGATGACTGGTGTGACATCACGGAGCTAGAACCTGAGAAACGTGGACCAGCTTTGCAAACAGACTGGAAGGAGAGGCTCAGCAATACAAGAGGTTATTAGACAGAGAAATGCTCAGGGATCCCAAGGACGGAGTCAGCTACTTCAAAAGATTTCTACAACCTCATTTCATCAAAGGTGCCGAAAACGTGTTCTTATACCGTTTCATGCAGTTCATGAAGTACAACAGAGGAACTGAGGAACTATGGATCTTCAAAAATGGATGACTAGATTTCAACTGACTGGAAACAGACTTATTGAGTCTTGGATGGGTTTACTACCAGACCTGTTGATTACTAGCCCGGAAGCAATCCTGTATGTTCAGCAACAACGACAAGAACATGAAGCACGTCAAGCTGAACTTTTACAACTTGCAGCAGCTGTACCAGGACAAGAACCACATGTCAATGTACCTTGGGCTCGTACTTCGCTTGTGGCGGTAAGATTGCCCAATCGCTTGTGACAGTAAAAACGTTCATTTTTACGTTCATTTTTACGTTCATTTTGACTGCCGCAAGTGATTTTTTTTACTGCCGCGGGTGATTGCTGTTTTTGCGTGGCAGGTGAGGCATTTCGAGGCCTAATCGCTTGTGGCGGTAAGATCGCGTTTGCTTCTTTTCAATCGCTTGTGGCGGTAAAAATCTGTCGCTTGTGGCGGTAAGTGGCTGTCCTTGATGCCAGGGGAAAAAAGCCAATCGCTTGTGGCAGGAAGCTGCTTTGCAGCACTTGCGCGCATACTTGTCTTCTATCCATGTGATTTCTAAACATAGACTGGAACCATTGCAACGCTGACGTTCAGAAGGTTTATGTTAACTTTCTGTTGTAGAGGATTTCATTGTTTTAATTGATGTCTTCATTGAAGTTTATGTATCCTTTGAAGGGGATCAACCAAAGAGGGTTGGAGCAACTTTTTCGGGCTCTATTCGACTCGGTTACCATAGGTAAAACATATTGCTTTTGATAGCATTTGGTGTGAATCCAACCCTGAGAGAATGAATGAAAGGAGAAAAAGAAAGACCGACTTTTAGCCAGGTGGAATTTCAGCTCGGCTGTGTCTTTCATGTCTTTTCGTTTTGCATTTGGGTATATAAACCGCTACGGTTGATATATTGGTTATAGATACCGTGGCACAATGTCCTCATGTTACGATTTACATAGAACGGCGCGACTGCGACTAGACTTGTAGCTGTTGAGCGAGCGTAGTGATCCGTGTATCTCCATGGCAGGGTTTAGGGTGGAAACTTTACTTACATACCTAGCACATCATCATTAACCTTCTTCTCCTCCTTACCATCATCCTCCTCATCATCATCATCGTCATCATCATCATCATCATCTTCATCATTTTCATCTACACTCTAGTACTTTTTGTACTTGCCCCAAACTGTTTGGGGTATCTTGCTAATACATTGTCCTCGTTTGTTACGTGTGGAACTGCCCGTGTTGCAAGATTCAGAGGGTGGATCGTGGGAGTGGGAACGAACTTGCAAGCAAATTGGAGTAACTCAACTCAGCATTTATTTTTGAAGCTTCACCGTGTTTAAGTTTATCACCATCATGGAGAACAGACAGCATCTATAGCCTTATTGAATCTTCTGTAAGCAGCTGAGAGTCACCCGGCCAGAAAGCTGGATGAAAGAATTTTGCTGTCTTGAATGGTTGCGTCTCCTGATATTTTATTGCCCTCATTCTTCCCGAGAGCGCCTGCGAAGGGTTCTTCGTAAAAAAGCAGCCGTTATACTAGATCTTCACTCCTTCACATCTGCTGATCTAGATCTTCACTCCTTCACATCTGCTGATCTGGATCTTCACTCCTTCACATCTGCTGATCTGGATCTTCACTCCTTCACATCTGCTGATCTAGATCTTCACTCCTTCACATCTGCGGATCTAGATCTTCACTCCTTCACATCTTCACTCCTTCACATCTGCCGATCTAGATCTTCATACCCTCACACCTGCAGATCTAGATCTTCACACCTTCACATCTGCTGATCTAGATCTTCACTCCTTCACATCTGCTGATCTAGATCTTCACTCCTTCACATCTGCTGATCTAGATCTTCACTCCTTCACATCTGCTGATCTAGATCTTCACTCCTTCACATCTGCAGATCTAGATCTTCACACCCTCACACCTGCAGATCTAGATCTTCACACCCTCACACCTGCAGATCTAGATCTTCACACCCTCACATCTGCAGATCTACATCTTCACACCCTCACATCTGCCGATCTAGATCTTCACACCTTCACATCTGCAGATCTAGATCTTCACACCCTCACATCTGCAGATCTAGACCCTCACACCTGCAGATCTAGATCTTCACACCCTCACACCTGCAGATCTAGATCTTCACACTCTCACATCTGCCGATCTACATCTTCACACCTTCACATCTGCAGATCTCCTCTCGCTCTTCTTCTATTCTCTCTTAAGGCGGTGGCGGTGCCGCCGGAGCGCCACGAAACGCAACCCTTTCGCACGAAATGGACGTTGGACGCCAAAAACTGAGGTAAAATTGCGATTTTACTTTGTCCATTGCAACCCTTTCGCACGAAATGGACGTTGGACGCCAAAAACTGAGGAAAAGTTGCGACTTTGAAGCGTCCCGCGCAACCCTTTCGCACGAAATGGACGTTGGACGTCAAAAACTGAGGAAAAATTGCAACTTTGAGGTGTCGCGCGCAACCCTTTCGCACGAAATGGACGTTGGACGTCAAAAACTGAGGAAAAATTGCGACTTTGAGTGTCCGCGCAACCCTTACGCACGAAATGGACGTTGGACGTCAAAAACTGAGGAAAAATTGCGACTTTGAGTTGTCAATCGCAACCCTTACACACGAAATGGACGTTGGACGTCAAAAACTGAGGAAAAATTGCGACTTTGAGTTTGTCAATCGCAACCCTTACGCACGAAATGGACGTTGGACGTCAAAAACTGGGAAAAAATTGCGACTTTACTTTGTTATTCGCAACCCTTACGCACGAAATGGACGTTGGACGTTAAAAACTGAGGTAAAATTGCGATGGACGCTTTCGTTTGTGTAAAAGTGCCTGTGTGTAAAAGCGTCTGTGTGTAAAAGCGTCTGTGTGTATAAGCGTTTGTGTGTGAAAGCGTGTGTGTGTGTAAAAAGCATCTGCGTGTAAAAGCGTTTGTATGTAAAAGCGTCTGTGTGTAAAAGCGTCTGTGTGTAAAAGCGTTTGTGTGTGAAAGCGTGTGTGCGTGTGTAAAAAGCATCTGCGTGTAAAAGCGTCTGTGTGTAAAAGCGTCTGTGTGTCAATGCGTCTGTGTGTAAACGCGTTTGTGTGTGAAAGCGTGTGTGCGTGTGTAAAACGCATCTGCGTGTAAAAACGTATGTGTGTAGAAGCGTTTGTGTGTGACAGCGTGTGTGCCTGTGTAAAAAGCATCTGCGTGTAAAAGCGTTTGTATGTAAAAGCGTCTGTGTGCTAATGCGTCTGTGTGTAAACGCGTTTGTGTGTGAAAGCGTGTGTGCGTGTGTAAAACGCATCTGCGTGTAAAAGCGTCTGCGTGTAGGAGCGTCTGTGTGTGAAACCGTCTGTTTGTAAAAGTTTGAACGTTTACAAAGGTTAACGTTTAGTGATGCTGAACTTTCATGTGCTCCAGGTGTGTTGCTTCCTTGCTGTTTGGGACTTGATGTTTGGTGTGGACATGTCCATGTTGATGCAGTGACATGCAGTGAAGCAGGTACCAAATCCTTTGCAGTGGATTGTGCAACTCTGCAGCGACAAGCATAGTTTACCTCTTTACCTCTTTCCTTGGCTCAGATGTGAA